GGTTTTATGAAGGATGTTTTTGGATTTGTGGGTTCTTAGGTGGTCCTTGAGTTGCAAGAACCTTGGGATGATGTTATTATCCCTACAGCGTTTTAGGAATGCCAGGTTTGATAGTTTCATGGCTAGGGAAGACCTTAGTTTGCTGAAAGTGTTTACCTTAGCAAGGATACTCTCCCCGTAGAGGTATTTAATAATATTCTTGAGGCTTTCACGGGTGTTTCCTATATGACAATCTTGTGTTTCGCGGGTTTTCTCCGTGTTCAAATCCATTCTTGGAATGCCAACGTTTCGTGAACCTTGCAGTCCACTTCATCAGGGCGAGGAGCAGCCTGATACTAAGCTGTTATCCCTTATCCTCTTCTCTTATCCTTCTTATTTACATTCATGCTTTACTACTATATTACCATGTTATTATTATATATCGAGATCTAGCAGCGCCAAGTGTTATTACATTTTTCTATTTAAATTAAATTTTTTCATTTTATACGGTTAATTCTTTATTTTTTTGTGGTAACACTTAAAATTGAGCAAGGTAACGCAATTTTGTGATAATGTTTTGTATAATGTTTTTTGAAGGAGAATTAAATAACCACTACTTTAGCTGGAAGAGGAAATGTCTATGAATGAATTGTGATATAATAATTTCATTTAAGAGGAATTTAAACGATTTGGATTAGAATAGGAAGATTTTTCAATAAGTAGGGTAAGTGGTCCAACAATGAACCATGTAAATTTCAGAGGCTCGTATTTCTCTCAATTATTGAATTGAAGGTCTGAATTTTGCATACAGTTTATGAATTTAGTTGACTACATACCGTAAATAATAACTTTTAAGTTATCCCTGAAGTTTAGTTACAATTTCGATTATTTTAAAAAACGGGAAATGGTTCATTGTGAACAAGGGGTGTTACACAATGAACCATGCTATTTTTAATAATGATTTACATGTTTTATACTGCGAATTGTTGGAATTATTTTAGTTTTGCTATATTTAAAAATGTTTATTTATAAAATAGATAATTATAAGGTGGTGAGGATTCACAAGGCCGACCACCGCGTTTTTCTTTCGTTTTGAGAGAAAACGCGTCAAATAAATATATTTTTATTGAAATTTTAAGTGGGGAGTGGGGCTGTATTCTAAATAATTATTACAATGAGTTATTATTTTGAAGATTATCGTAAAAAAGGTTATGTGATATACAATATACCATGGTTCATTGTTCACTACGTCAAAATGATTCATTGAAGACCACCTAGCCTTTTCCACGATAATCCTCTAAATAATGTAGAAAAATAATGTAATAGAAAAAGTTACTTACAGAATAATAAAGCCAAATGTGCACATAAAACTATTGCATAATGAAAAAAATTATAGGTATAACAACAAAAACATAAAAAATACGTAAAACTTACAAAAAAATTTACTTTGCAACCCAAAATTCTTAAAAAGTGACATTATATGGTCGTTCTTGGCGCGATCTGTCAGTCGACTGGGGAGCCGAGGAGGGGCTCAAATGCGAGTCGCTGCACGATAGCAGCACAATCTGATAATGTTGCATTTACGAAATATCGCAATGGTTCATAGTGTACTATTGGTTCACTGTTGGACTACCTACCCTAT